AACTTCAGGTGCCTGGTAAAGACAAGATTGTTCTCCAACAAGATGCGGTGAGACAAGAAGCAAGTGTGGGCCAGCATTCTAAGAGGTAACTTCAGGTGCCTGGTAAAGACAAGATTGTTCTCCAACAAGATGCGGTGAGACAAGAAGCAAGTGTGGGCCAGCATTCTAAGAGGTAAGTTTGTGGTTACCATCAAGGAGGCTGGGTGGTGGTGTACATGCCTGTACTCTGAGAACTTAGAAGATACAAGGAGGGCTGAGAGGTCAGGGACACTCAGCTGGAAGCTGAGCTCTTTTTGAGTTCTCTGTCACAAACACAACAAAATGCTGCCCCAATAATCTCAATAGCATCACCTAAGTCCATTCTTCCGGCTCTTGCCCTATTGTTTCCCCCACTCTACAGCCAGGACCTTTAATAACCTCCTGACGGTTCCCATACTCAACACGTCCTCCTTTACACCAAAGTAAGATGTTCCTAAAATGTAAATCAGATCATGTCATTTTCTGGCTTTAAAAATCTAGAATACTGAAGGAGAAACTCTTCACGGCTGTCACTATGCTGTGATTAGAAATTTTTCTTTTTAAAATAAGTCTTGTGTACATTACCACAAGGTTGATTACCTAAAAGCTTCAAGCCTTTTTAACAATATCTTCTAATTCATGCCATGCCTACTTTGCCCTCGGAATTTCAAAAGACCCAATGATATGTTTAACTTCCATAGAAAACAGGGGAGAAATAGCACATACTCATGGTAATTTCCTGTAGCCTTGCAAATTGTATATTTAAAAAATTAGCAGAATATTGTGTTTCGAGAGCTCCTGTCTGGGGCCAAGAAGAAAACTGTAATCACAGCAATTACCTTGTGAACCTCTAATTTCTGTTGTAGCTGCAAAGTTTGGAGTAGCACACCCACCCACGAGTACCATGGCTCTTTCATCTAGAAGCAATTTCTGTCCCATTCTTGGGAAAATAATAATTATAGGTACAGCAAGGTATTTAAAGAAAAAAAGTCATGAAAATACCATTTTCATGCTGTAAGACAGAGTTCCTGAAGAAATTAAAACCTCGACCAGGACTAAATTCCCTGATTTCTATGTTAGGTGCTGCCTCAAGAGAACCAGAGTTTATGTTGGAGAACAGATAGTACACTACTCAGCTGGTTAGCCTTTTAGCTCCTCCACGCTCTAGGGTCCACAGTGTTCTATACTGTTTGGGTCATGACCCAATGCTTTGAAGACATACTGTGATGGCTCACGTTCATTGAGGCTTAGTCAAGATGGACAAGGCAGATGCCAGTGTTTAACTACAGTGGTTTAGTGACTGGTATCTGGAACAAGACTGTCTGAGGTCAAATTCTAACCTACCTGACTGGAACTAGCTAGATAAGCCAGCTGTGCCTCAGTTTCCTCATCTGCAAAACATGAGTATTTATATAGTAAGCAATCTCGAGTGTATCAAGTGAAAGAAAGAAAAAAAAAACCCAAGTAAATAAAGTGCTCTTAATGGCATTTGGAATAGAGCAAGTTCTCAATATGTCTTAGCTAGAATTTTATGAAGTCATTTTAATGTATTTCCAGAGGGTGAATAGTTAGCAAGAACATTTTTTTATGTAGATGGTAGAGCTACTGAAGAGACTCTGGCCATCTGAGTGTGAGCATGACTCTGGCAGGCCTTGTCCTTCTCTCCCATTCCCTCTGCCTTGCTGAAACTGTTAGACTACATTCCTAAAGCTAGCCACTGAGGTCTCCTCCCTTAGTCATTTCTTCCTCCTGAGGCTGACTACCAAGGTACAGCTATTAAAGTACTGAAGTACAGCAATCACAAGTCCCCTTTGGCTCACCTAATAACATGTTCCATTAAAATCAAACATCTCATCCTAACACAGGTTTTTTTTCTCTTTAAACCTTTATAAGTTGTCATTTGCCTGTGTGCCACATCTGTCTCCTCTCCATCCAGAGGTAGTCCTTTGTCCTCCACCTTGGGACAAATACCCCTTACCCCTCTCCCTTGCTCCCTTCCTCCTCCTCTTCTTCTGTCTCCTGTCTTTGTCCCTTATTCCCTGTCCTCTGTTCCTCTGGGGCAAATGAAACTCCTTTGAGCTTAGAACTTGGTCTTGGGGACCCTGAGCAGATTATACAAAACCTTCCTTGAGAGTCTGATCTCCCCAGAACGCATGCAATAGTCCACTACAGGGTGAGGAGAAAGATGGTGACAACTTCAGCTTAATCTTTATTTTATATAGTGCCACACAGAGAACATACTTATGTGTATGTGCATATGTGAACATTGGAATCCTGCTCAAAACAGATGTGGAGAAGACATGCACAAACATGTGAAGACCACTATCAAACAAGCACTTTCTGAATACTCATG